TACTTGTAAATGTTTTCTTAAGCATTTATATGTGGCTTGTTCATTCAACCTTTAAGGAGTTGTATTTCCTCACTTGTCACTATCAAATCTAATGATTTTTAATTTTGTTACAACTTCTTAAAAGGGTTGCAAGTCATGAGAATAACCAAGGGGACTGACGTTCTGAATAAATGATGTGACATAAGCATAATTGTATTTGAAATGTACGATTAAATTTTATTAATGTGTAACAAAAACTTACATAGTAAGTTTATAAAGCCCAGAAATGTACCAAATCACATTTTATATTACCAATTGCCAGTATTTGTCTAGAATTTAAATTTATTAAAAACATTTTAAAGCTATGTACACATTTTAGGTAAAACCTCTATTGTTCATTTAGTGAAAATATATTTTTAAAAATCCCTTCTAAAATTTTATTCTAGAGGTTGGTTTCTGCCTGTAACTTACCCTGCTCTCTGAGAGAAACAAGTTTTGCACAAATATATTAGTGAATGTCCTTGCATTTCTCAGGCCATTGGTAAAGTTTATATAAGATGTTAATATTTTTATGTAAGGCAGGAGTGGTTTGAATTGGTTTATTTAGAATAAGAAGGGAAGTTAACAGTAAACAAGATCCCCAGGAGATCCCCCATTGTCAGTGAAGTTCACATGCGAAAACGAAATAGTTGAAGTTTGGATTTTTTTAGCCATATAACTTGTTAGCAAATGCCTCCTGTGCTGATTAGATTCTTACCCCGCTATGACCAAGATGCTCTTCTAAGCATCACTATCATTTGACATTCTTGAGCATTAAGTCAAAACTTTGCCAAGCTGGCACTGGTTGTCATTGGGGTTTTGGAGAAATCTGCTTGTCCGAGAATTACATACTTCTAAAATGTTAAGGGAAGCACTACAGTCTGGGCAGACTCCATCTAGAAAGTACTTTATTCCCATAAAACACCTTTGGATTATTTGTTTTCTAAGGACCCACTGAATCTTAGTAGTCTGGTAGGGAAGAGTGGGTAGGAGGTCAAAAGGAGGGAGTACTCTTTTTTACCTTACCTCCTTTTCCTCACTCTGACCTCCACCATTATGGTGTTACTTAATCATTTGGTAAAGTTCTAGGACATGATTGTGTGAATAAATTATCTCCAATCTTTACATGTTGGAGGGATCTGCCAAAACTTGAGGAAATTTTGAAAGTCTTTTTTTTTTTTTTTTTCTCACAATGACCAATAGATACATCTGCCATTCTACCCATCTAAGCAGCTGTTATGAGTAGAATTTTCCTGAAGAGCACATCACTGGTCTTACCCATTTCCCCCTGTCGTCTTCCTGTATTTCCCTTCTGCCCGTTTTCCTGTGCTTAGAAACCATAAGGTGCTGAAAACAAATTTTTTTTTTCATTTTCTCTTAAGTCAAGGTAGTTTTCAACTGTGTTCACTTTGCGGCGTGGGTGGCAGAGGGTTCTGACGTGGAAAAGTAATGTGTAGTGTGACTTTTTGTTGCTTTCCGAGGTAAACCACATACTTAACAGGAAGACTGAGTGGTGTACTTTTTTATTATCAGATTGGAACCCAGCTGGTATTCTTGTATACTTGATTATACTGCAATTGCCAGCGGGAAAACAATGTGCAGACATTTTTAAAAATGCATTTAAAATGAAGGGCATTCTGCTGCTTTTTCTTTTTCTTTCTTTCTTTTTTTAAGTCCCAAGGTAAATCTCAATGTCTCAAGTCTGGATTTAGGCAACTACATTTATTAGGATTTTTAAAAGCATATCCCTTAGCATGTTGTGTTCTTTTTTTTGTTTTACTTAAAATGTTTACTTCTACTTTTGAGGTTTTCTTAACATGGTCTTGTTTTGTAATGTCAATTTTATTAAACACCATATACACATTTTCATTCTTCTGCTAAAACATGTATTGTGTGCACTAAATTTTAAAACATTAAAAATTATTTGAAGATAGCCAGTGTCTCTTTGTTTTTTGTATTTTTTTATTTTTTGAGAGCGAGGGTGAGCGAGAGAGAATGAGTGGGGGAGGGGCAGAGAGCGAGGGGACAGAGGATCTGAAGTGGGCACTGTGCTGACGGCAGAGAACCTGACACACAGTTCAAACTCACAAACTGTGAGATCATGACCTGAGTTGAAGTCTGATACTTAACTGACTGAGCCACCCAGGTGCCCTCTTTGTTTTCTAAACCACCTTTTGGTAGCTCAGGGCTGGAATATTGCACAGTCTTTATTGTGGTTCTTCTACAATGATTGTTCTGGTGATTGTCAGAGCCTTACAGAAATCAGGTCATGTTCACTCAGTCAGTCAGGAAATACATACTGAGCATGTACTGTATGACCAGAAGTATCCTAAGTGTTGTGTGATACACAGATGACTAGATAGACACCGTCCTCAAGAAGCTTATAATCTAGGAAGAAGGACAGACTCGTGAACAAAGTATCATAAAGACGAAAACAAGTACATACAGTGCTAGAGTAAATACCATCCCATTCTATTCCATGGAGATCATTCTTGAGCTACAACAGGATGGGTCAGGAATGGCCAGGAGGCTAAGAAAGGGGAAGGCACAATAAGTCAAGTGCATGGTGAATATAGTGGGGTGGAGAAATGGCAAGCCAATGACTAGCATATGGTAGAAGAGTGGAGGTGAGGAGAGGCAAAACAAGAGAGGTAAAAAGATTCTGGGATGTTATGCTAAAATTTTTGGGGTTTGTCCTGGAATAGATAAAGAATCAGAATCTTTTGAAATAAGAGAGGGTTGTGTTTTAGAAATTATGTATTTGGAAATTATGTTTTGGAAAGATTACCCTGGCAAAGAACACTTGCTGTTGGTGCGGGAATATTCCTCTGTGTGGAGTGTGAATACATATATGCACTCGCACGTGAACACGTGGTATAAGCGATGGAAATGGACCCAGGCCTGCTGAAGCAGAAAGGGAGCTTACTGCATAGGTATTAAGGACCTCATGGAATCGTCCTAATCTGGGGAGTCAGGCTTGGAAAATGGGTAGGAACCAAGGCAATGCAAGCTGCAGGACTCTAGCCAAGCTGGATGCAGTCCTATGGCTTCAGAGATTTATTTCTCTACTGTCCTTGCTTCTTTGCCTAATTTGCTCAAGAATCAAAGTCCCAGGTATAAACAAGCTGTTAGAAGAATCTAGGCCAAGTTCCCAGGCTCTGATTTGCAGGAGATGGAAGGAGTGAGTAGCTGACCCTTAGACTTCCATGGTCCCATCAAGGTCACCCAACTAGAGATTGCTTCCAAATGGAAAAGAGTTGTTGAGCAGAAAGAGAAAAAAAAAAAAATCCATAAAATATACATTTGTGAGGGCTTTAAAATTTGGATGTGAGAAATGTGTGTGACCACCCACCGAATCCCACATTGCCTCTGAGAATAATGCTAAAAGATGATTCAAGGGCAGTGGCATGTGAAGTCGACCATTATTGGTGTGTGTGTAGATGAACTGCCAAACGAATAGCTCCCAGGTCTCAGTGACCTCATATACCCACATTTCTCAAATTATAGTTCAAAGCAGGGGTAGGGTGGTGGGCTGGGGGAGGTGCTACTCCATTCAGTAGTAGAAGAAGCCCAACTTCCAACCGTCCTGTGACTGCTGTCCCCTAGCTCTTCAAAGTCTCCATTCCCTCAGAAGATAGGGACAGAAAAGGATTGTTCACTTTCACTCATGGTTCATTGGCCACAACTCAATCATGCGGACTCATCTAACTGCAAGGGAGGCAAGATTATGGGTCAAGGAAGAAGAAGCTGATATGTTGGTAAGCGTTAGCAATCTCTACCTCTGGTCCCTCCAGCTTTCTTTTTTTTTTTTTTTACATTTATTTATTTTTGAGACAGAGGGAGAGAGAGCATGAACAGGGGAGGGTCGGAGAAAGAGGGAGATGCAGGATTTGAAACAGGCTCCAGGCTCTGAGCTGTCAGCACAGAGCCCGACATGGGGCTCGAACCCACGGACCGCGAGATCATGACCTGAGCCGAAGTCAGACGCTTAACCGACTGAGCCACCCAGGCGCCCCCCTCCAGCTTTCTTAAATAAGCCCCATGAATCTTCTTTTCATGAAAATAAGTTTAAAACCACGTGCCTGTTCTGATCTTTTAATAGTAGTTCTCCAGAGCGCCATGTTGAGAGGATTTTGAAGCCAGATCCATGGTGAGCAGTAAAGAGTTCTGTGCCTGGTTGGCAAAGTATGCCATGGGTGTGGAGTGCGCCACCTTTGTGCAACATATTTTTATTTCTAACTCGAACCCTTCTCGAGACTAAAGTTCAACCTGTTCCACCTCTGGGGATGTTAAGTTCCAAAATTTTCTACTCATGGCTTAGTAAAAGTAGCACGGGACTGAGAATCACAAGACTGGAGTTTGAATTCATTTCCTCTACTTAATAGCTCTATGAACTCAAGTCAGTTTTTTAAATCTCCTTGAGCCTCTGTTTCCTACCCTACCTCACAAGAGATGTGAGAATCAAATGAGATAATGTATTCAAAATCATCTGCAAACTCTGAAGCATAATGTAGTCAGAATACATTAAAATAACTGTAATTTATTAGTCCTAAATCTCTTTCAAGCTTCAGGAGGTTTTAGTATTGTGAGATGTGATGGTCAGGTACTTAAGTACACAAGAGCAGAAATTGTCATACCTCATCAGAACCATGGTTCATTAAGCCCAAGATTGTCATTGGCAGAGAAACTCAAGGGTATGTAGAAGGCTGCAGTCATTGTCCTTAGTGTCAACTGCAAAGGAAAGTGACAAACCCAACATGTTCTTATTTTACTTGGTAATCACTAATGACTTTATCCTCCATGATTTAATCTAACCTTTTAGAAAGTACGTTTGTTATTACTGACTTGTGTCTTCTTGTTCTCTATTTTTGGGGTGAAGCTTTATCTTGTTCATTTCTAAGTTTATGCGTCTTTCAGATTTCAAGGGAAGGAACCGAGGGATTTATTGCAAAGCTTTAAAAAGAAGAAAGAAAACACAGGAATCTGTCTCACCAGCTGCACTTGCAGGCTTGATGGAGGATCTGAATATAATTCTTTATTTTTTATTATTTACAGAGTGTGGGTGGGAAGAGAGAGAGACAAAAGAGGGAGAATCCCATGACCCTGAGATCATGACCTGAGCTGAAATCAAGAGTTGGACACTCAAATGACTGAACCACCCAGGTGCCCTTAATTCTTTTTTCTTTCAAGTAAAATAATAATAGCCACTGAGCACTTACCATATGGCAAGGAATACCCTAAGCGCTTCATACACATGATCTCCTATAACTGCACAACACCCTGTAGGGCAGGCTTTATCTTTATTTCTATAGATGCAAATGAAGCTCAGATTAGCTACAGAAGTTGTCCAAGGTTACAGAGCTGGTGGGTGTCTTTAAACACACCAAAGAGTCTAACCCTGGAATGTGTGCGCTAAAACCTTTTGCTATATTGGTTTCTCTAGGTCATCCGATCAAAAGTATTTCTCACTGTTGTGATGCTACCAAACGCTTCCTTGGTGTTTTACTTCACTACTTCTTTATGCGGCCGCCCTCCCTTTTGGTACCTCTTAATTAATAACGTCCCAGGAGAGAAGTGATTGGGTCTAACTGCCATTAGTCAGTACAGACACTCCTCTTCCCTACTCTCCTGCACTGGGTAGGGGCCATGTCAGCTCCCCTACATGGCTGTCTTTGGCAGGTTCCTGACCCAATCAGTTCTTACAGCATGGTTGGGTCCCATGACACAATGCAAGGCTGTTTCAGAGAAGGGCTTTGTGGGCATGTCAGGCAGCAAAAGGCTTCAGACCATCCACCCTTGCTCAAAACATAAGCTGTTTTTTTCTGATTACAGTAGAGGTTTCGGCCCGTGTTCACCCTCACCTTGCTGTTTATGAAATGATAGGCTTCACTGAAGCCCTCTTTGCCCTTGCCTTTTCAGACTGAAGAGCCCATATTCTTTCTCCAACATTGCTCTAGCCTTTTCTAGTTCTATTGTGAATTTACTCAAGTTTGGAAACCAGGATCACACATGTTTTCTCCCAGTCTGGATGCATCAAGGTTTTGAAGACAGGATAATCCTTTTTTGTTTACAGTGTCTTCATGTTGAAGCCTCTCAGAATAAGGTCTTATTTCTTTAACATGGCATAAGGGCTAACAATGGCCCAGTCCCAATGGATCTTTCTAGTGTCACCTACAGACACTTCCTTATAGACAAGCCCTATGGAGATTACACTCAATTGCCAGAATGTGGTCCTATGTAAAGTCCTCAAGTCATTGGTCATGCTGTTTTTCTCTGCTTGAAATATCTTCTGCCACTCCATCCATCCAGGGTGCTATTATGATAGAGCAATTGAAAGCATGTCAGATAATTATGGATTTAAATTCTAGCTCTGCTTGGTGAATTTCTTAATCCCTCTGAACCTTAGTCTCTTCACCTGTCAAGTGGAGATAATCATACTTACCTCCCTGCGGTTGATCATTAAATCAGAGAATGCACAGAAGTGGTTATTCCAATGCCTAGCAAAGAGTAAATGCTCAGTCAGTAAATGGAAGCCCAGCTTGGACACCTCTGCTTCCCCCTTTCTTTTGCTGTCCTTTAACCAATGCCCCTTTTTCTTTACCCACTTCTCCACCACATCAGTCACCTTCTCATCTGGCTACCGCAACACTATATACTTAATTGATGGTACAATATTCCAAGATGTCAGCCATTTTTCTTTCTGCGATTTCCCTTCCCCAAATGCCCAGCCTTCTATTCAAACCACGAATCTTTTTGTACTAATATCTCAGGAAAAGAATGTGACAGCAGAAAACAGAAGAGTCAGGAGACTGTTCCTGGCTTTTTGGTTTTTAAAATTCAGTTCCCTAGGGAATCAGAAGTCACGGGTTGACCTGGGGGCAAGTGCTGATACCTGGTAGGGGTGAGAGAGGGGAGGCAGGGGTAATAAGGGAAGGATTACAAGGATTGTAGCAGCTGTGGTCTAAGCGCCCCAACACCACTCACGGTCAGCTAACTATTGCCAGTGCGGACTCTGGGTTCACTGCGACCTGATTCATCTCTTTTCAAGAGAAACAAACATCAAGGTTTTTTTTTTTTTAATGTGAAATACAATATCAAGTTTATTGTCACTCACTACATTATTTTCTTTCAAATAATTTATTCAACAAAAACTTATTCAGGGGCAAACAGTGAGTTAGAACCTGGGAGTGCAAAGACAGACAAGATGGTTTCTGTTCCAGGAGCTCCTGGTGTAAAGAATTAGATGCATAAACATAGGATATGGTATCAAGTGATATGTCTTATGTTAAAGAGTGATTTCCAAAGGGTGATCACTGGGCCAGCAGCAGCAGCAGCAGCATCACCTGGGAACTTACTGTAAATGCAAATTTGCAGGCCCTGGCCCAAACCCGCCTAATATGCAAGCTGAGGTTGTTTTAACAAGCTCTCCAGGTGATTCAGATGCATGCTAAAATTGGAAAATCACTTTGAGAATGAAAAGCCAAGAGGACTCTGGAACAGTAAGCCAACACATCTGAGCCAACCTTGAGATCTCTGCCATCTAAAAATCACTTCACAGTCCCTTCCAGCCTAGATTCTAAATAGGTTGCTCTCTGGTAATTCACAAGGATGATACAAAAGTATATGTGTCCTTTTAAGTGAATGCATAAGATCTTCAAGAATGGGTTTTTTTTTTTTAATTTTTTTTTTCAACGTTTATTTATTTTTGCGACAGAGAGAGACAGAGCATGAACGGGGGAGGGGCAGAGAGAGAGGGAGACACAGAATCGGAAACAGGCTCCAGGCTCTGAGCCATCAGCCCAGAGCCTGATGCGGGGCTCGAACTCCCTGACCTCGAGATCGTGACCTGGCTGAAGTCGGACGCTCAACCGACTGCGCCACCCAGGCGCCCCAAGAATGGGGTTTTTAATTAACCTTTAAAATTTTTCTTTCCCTTCTCCTACTTTCAGATTTCAGCACAATACTTTGGAGATACAGGCACTGAAATTTACTTGAAGCAGCTAATTTGGAAATTAACCTCGTGAAAGAGTTATACAGTCACGATGGGAAAATGGCATTTGTGTATTTACAAATTTTCATAATTTACTGTGGCAAAATATACAGAAAAGTTAACCATTTTTTAAAAAGTTTTATTTATTTATTTTTGAGAGAGAAGGTGAGAGTGAGCAAACTAGTGGGGTAGGAGCAGAGAGAGAATCCCAAACAGGCTGCCAGCTGCCAGCACAGAGCCCGATGTGGGGCTTGAATTCAGGAACCACAAGATCATGACTTGAGCCAAAATCAAGACAGATGCTTGACCTACTGTGCCACCCAGATGCATTAGAACCATTTTTAAGGGTGCAGTTCAGTGTCCTTAAGTACATTCATGATGTTGTACAACCATCACCACTGCTCCATTCCATAATTTTTGCATCTTCCCAAACCGAAACTGTGCACCAATTATACAATTGTTGATATCTTTTGCCTTGTTCTCTTCCAATGGGAGTTTTTTCTATTGATCTGAGTTCATTCTAAAGTACGGCTATCAATCCTTTGTCTTCTTCCAACTCATGTTTTTAAAGGGCTCTATTCATGGTGAATTTTAAAAATATGTTCAGAAAATTCTGCATTTTTGTGGAATAATAAAACTGTGGTTACAATTATATTATCAAATCTATGAATATTTTCCTTTAGGATTTCTGTGTTGCTGTCCTTGAAGGCTTTCACAACCTCAATCTTATGAATACACTTAATCCATAGAGGATTTACTTAGATGTTTTTTTCTAAATGGCTAATCAGCTATTCCGACATCATTTATTGGATAACTTGTCTTTGCCTACTGATTTAAAATGTCATATTTTCATACTAAATTTTTCTGCGTCCTGATCTTTTCTGTAGTCCTTCGAGAATATAACAAAGCCTTAATTACAGTCCTGTTATGCTCTACTCTCCAGGGAGTTAAATCCTCCTCACTTTATGTCATTTTGATGGTTGTATAATATCCCATCACACGCACATAATTTTTTTAACCAACCTCTTAATACTAAGCATTTGTTAAATTTCCTATTTTCCAATACCATACAACCTGTAGTTTTGGATTGGATTAAACAAAAATCTCTGCAGCCGTGGCTCAAGTTGTGCAAATTACCCGTTTACCCTTTTCTCTGAACTGTTTAAACAATTAGAACAAATACGCTTTACTGGTCTGAATTATGGGATAATTGGCCCCGAACCCGTCCCCTGGTCAACATTATCCGACAGAGACTTCCAAGTGACACCAGGGGGCGCAGTTTCCCAGCTCCGCCTCAGCCACATCCGGGTTCCACCGCAGGTTCGGGCCGGGAGCAGGCGGAACGTTTCTATCACGCCACCAATTAACCTGCGCGGCGGGGACCATTTAGGCCTTCGCGCACCGCTCTTACCGGGCGCTGCGGTTTGCTTGGGGCAGCCGAAAGCGGGCGTGGCGGCTCTGCTGGCTTCTCCCTTCGTCGTGAGCAGCACAGCATGGACGTGCTTGCGGAAGAGTTTGGGAACCTGACGCCGGAGCAACTGGCTGCACCCATCTCTACTGTAGAGGTGAGGGCTGGGCACGCGGAGAGCGGAAGGGGCCGGGAGCGTCCGCAGGAGGCGTTGCCCGAAGAGCTCGCGTGGCGGAGGGGGGGGAGGGGCGGCGGCGGTGGCTTCTGCGCATGCTCAGCGCGACGGAGCGGGTCTCTTCCGGAGCGGGCCGCCGAGTGCACGTGGAGGGGCAGAGCTCGGAGGAGCGGGACAGCCCTCCGCGCTCGCGGCCTTCGCCTGGGGTGGGGGCGGGGGCCCTTCAGGGTTCGTGTGTGTCAGGGAAGGATTGGCCCTCTCTCCCACCTAGTGGGACGTAGTGCACGCTCCCGGGTTAGAGGAGACACCGAGGTCCAGGGAGCTTAGGCCACCTTCGTGGGGTCCCACATTTGCCGGTGCTGGTGAAACCAAATCGTCTGAATCCCAGGCTAGTAATCCTTTTAACTTGGAATTCAAGTTTGGGCTTTAGGAGTATTTTAAACGCCCTGGAAATTTACTCACAACACTTTGAAAAAAGAAATTGTGTATTTTGGGGAATAGCCCTGTACCTTTCGTGAGTTAATCAGAAGTTAGGGATAACTGCCCTCCAGTGAGCTGTCTAGAGAAGTTCAGCTGTGGACGTAGTCTTATTTTCTGGAAAACCACATGTAAACCCTCTGGGCCTCAGAGGCTTTATCGTCATGGAATGGGGGAAATGGAGAAATCGTGAAGGGAAAGCTTTCAGGTAGAGGAACGGGACACTTAAATATCGGTAGGTGATATAGTAGGTCAGACCGCCTGATGTTTTCGAGGAACTACGGTAGTATTAGAGTGAAGAAAAGTGGAGGAAGGGAGATGAAAAATAGGTCGGCGAGGGTCCTGATTATGAAAGGTTTTGATTTTTCATAGACCTCCGAAGGAGCTATGAAATGCTATTGAAGGGATTAAGCCGGAGAGTGACATGATCGGTGAATCTATTGGATTGTAATCTTTTCTTTATATTTATTTGACAGATTAATGAGGTTAATTATGATTAGTCTATCAGATTCAATACATGAGTGCCTACAACACACTGATGATCATCAGGCAATACTGGATTTTTAACTCTTTAAGAGTTAATAGTAAGAGCCAGCATTTACTGACCACTTGCTATGTGGCAGGCTCTGTTTAAGCCTAATATGCATTGTTATTGATTTTCTGAAATAAGCACTATTTTCACCCCATTTTGCCAATGAAAGACTTTGGAGGCCCAGAGAGGTTACATGATTAATCCAGTGTCAGAAAGCTGTTAAGTAGCTGATCTGGATTTTGGACTCTGCCAGTCTGATTTTAGTCTTCATCCTTAAGATGAAAAGACTGCCTTTTCAAAGACCTGAAGGAATAAGCTTAGAGGATTTGTAAATCTTGCCTGACTTCGCACAGCTGTGAAGGGACCAGAACCACAGTTCCAGGCTTCTGATTCAGGAATAAAAATTCCTCTTCCTGACCCCCTGTGTCCAATCCACCATCACATCTTTCGGCTCCTGCCTAGTAAACCCATTCAAGTCTGAAGCTTCATTTCTGCTATTGTCCAGTCTGGAACCACTGTCCTGTCCTACTTCCTAGGCTGCCAACTTGTCTCACTCCAACCTGTTCTCTGCTCTGTAGCCAGAGCAATTAGTTTAAATGATCATATTGCTTCCTTGGTTAAAATTCTTCAATCTCTGCCCTGTTCTCTTAGGGCAAAATCTAACGTCTTGACCATGTTTATAAGGCTGTCCTCAGTCGGGTCACTATTTACTTCTCCAGCCTCTTTTCCCACCACTTTCTCCATCCTGCCCTGAGATCTTTCTACTCTACTTTGGATTTTTTTCTGATTCCTCATTATAGATTTACATACAACAAAATGTACAGATACCAAGTGTTCAGTTACATTTGTTTTGACAGTTATGTATACCCAAATAACTACCACTCAGTACAAGATCTAGAACATTTCCATCACCCTAGAAAGTTCCTTTATGAACCCTTTTGAGTTTATAACCCAAGCACCTTTACTTATTTATTTATTTAAGACAGAGAAAAGGAGAAGGGGGAGGGGAGAGAATGAATGAATCCCAAGCAGGCTCCATGCCCAATGCAGGGCTTGATCCCAAGACCCTGGGATCGTGACCTGGGCCAAAATCAAGAGTAGGATGCCCAACTGACTGAATCACCCAGGCACCCCTCCTCCAAGTGTACTTTTTGATTTCTGTCATCATAGATTAGTTTTGCCTGATTCCCTTCTTTTTGTTAGTAGACTAACTTTTTTTAGAGTAGTTTTAGGGCCGCAGCAAAATTGAGAGGAAGATACAGATCTATATACTCCACAAATCCCCTGCCCCCACATCTCCTCTTTCTTGAAGAATGTTTTTTACTTTCTCCAGATTGTTTGCTTCCCTCCCTGAGCACTCCCTGCCACCCCTTTTTGCTGGACCTGTCTTTTGCTCAGGAGGTGTCCTGAGAATAAAATAAAGTATGAAGAATGCTTGGATCATCAAGAGATTAAAGTATATTCTGTTTAAGAAATCTGTGGTGTATGTGTGTGTGTGTGGTGTGTGTGTATGTATATATACATACATATACATATGTATGTATATATATATTTGTATGTGCATACACATATATGATTTCCATAAAAGTGGTTAAAATTTTAAAATTGTTCTTTTCATTTTGATTTATTTTCTTTTTCTGTGATAAAGTAAGTCATTTTGGGTATATTAAAATAACTTGTAAAAATATTGTGATCACAGCCACAGAGTTCTGATATTCTTGTTTTGCTTCACAGGAAAAATGGAGGCTGCTTCCAGCATTTTTAAAGGTAATTGTGTAATATTTAATACTAGTGGTTATTTTTCAGATGAAAAAGGGCAAATTCATCTTTTTTCAAAGATTAAATGTTTATCATCAACTAATAATTTTTGACTTTGCACAACTATGTGATTTGCTATATTTTGGAAATACAAGGAATTAGACCATGACTTAACCTATGTCTAAGGCGCTAGTTGGATGAGTGGTAATCTAATTTTAGAGAAAGGCTGTAGTATATGCAGTAGCACAGTGGTGTTGGCAAAAGTGGTGATGCTCCAGGTGGTCACAGAAGGTCTCCCAAAGGAGGTGAGACATAAACCACATCTCAGGAGGACAGGATTTAAGCAAGCTAAAAAGGTATAATACCGAGAGCATGCCTTGATAAAAGTGCTCAAGTGGAGCCTCCATGGCATCTGTAGGGACCAATGACCAGTCTGTTTGGCTGGAACAGATGAGTGGATAGTCACAGAGACTGCTGAATATAAGGTAGTCTAGGATCTAATTCAATTTTCAAGAGCTTATGCTAAGAAGTAAGGGATACCACAATGATAGATCATTTGACACCCACTAGGATGGCAGTGATCAAAAAGAAAGGTAACAAGTGTTGATGAGGATGTGGGGAACTTGGACGTTTCCTGGTGGGAATGTAAAATGTTGCAACTGCTTTGGACAACAGCCTGGCAGGTCCTTAAATGGCTAAACAGAGTTACCATGTGATCCAGCAATTTTCCTTATTTACTCAAGAGAAATGAAAACACATCTTCACACAAAAACTTGTACACAAATGTTCATAGTGGCCAAAAAATGGACACAACCCAAATGACCATCAACTGATGGATGGATAAATAATATGGTTTATCCATACGGTGGACTATTATTTGGCCGTAAGAAATCAAGTGCTGGTTTACTACAGCGTGGGTGGGTGTTGAAAGCATGTTAAATGAAAGAATGGAGACTTGAAAAATGAGTAGAGTCTTATTTGACTTAGTTCTGTGTTACAGGCAGAAGGGAGAGTGCTGGGAGGGGATGCGGGGGAAGCTGTCAGGGTCGGAATTCTGACCAGGTTTGAAAGCCATGTTAAGGACTTTGGCTTTTCTTCTAACAGCAGTAGGAAGCTATCTGAGAGGTTTTAAGAAGAGGTTTTAAGAAGAGTGACCAAGAATGAAATAAAGTTGTAATAAGGTCAAGGGAAACCTTTTTTTAGTTATAACTCTTTTGTTTTTTTTTTTTAAAGAAACTGTAAGCAGAGGAGAAAGGGTGATATTTATCATTCAAAAAAGGGGGACACAATTGGTGGCACAAGGTCCAAGAAGAGATAGAGGGTTCCATACAGACATAAGACTGGTTATTTCATTCATTCATTCATTCATCCATTTATTCAAAGTTGGGATTCTCCTTTACTCACACCACCTTGACATTTATTTGTCCAAGAATAAAGGTATGATGATTTTGGTATATAACTGGAGACAGGAACACAAAGCTTATGAGGCTGCCAGTGCTGTTGGTCAACAGAATTAAGGCTCTGTTCTTGGGCTGGGATGGCAACTGTGAAGAGGGACAAACATACTTAGTTTTGTACAAGTACCGGATTGGGTGTGTTTGACTTAATAGCATTGCTTTATGAAGATAAAAATTACTTTTTGAGTTTTAGTTGATGAGTCTGTAAGGTGGCCTTGATTTTTTTATAGTGGTGGTGTACTATCCAGAATGAGGGAGGCAGTGGCCCCATGGTGTGCTGGTCATACTGTTGAGAACATTGTCCATGAGTTCAGGGTGCCCGTGTTAGGAGGAACACTGACCAACTGGAGCATGCCCAGGAGCAGGCCATCTGCTGCCAAAGGGTCTGGAAAGCGTGCATGTGAGACATAGTTGAATAGTTCCTGTTTGGCCTGGACGTGACATCATGAAGGAGAGATAAAGTAAATAAACAGACTGTCGAGAGCAGGCCTTTCTCTCCAGAAGGACAGTTAAGTCCAAGGGCTGGAAACTGGAGGAAGGCAGACCTCAGATCAACATAAGGTTGAATTTCTTCCCCCAATAATTAGGACTGCTTCTGAATGGGATGGTTTGTTTGTAAACCAGTGAGATCCCAAAAAGGAAGTGTAATTAAAGCAAAGGCTCTATGACTATGTGTTAGGAATGTTCTAGCAGTGCTGAACTCCATTGTGCTTGAAG